AGAGGTAAATAGTGATGCATGTTCAACCTTGGAACAACACGGTTCTGGGATACAGGGATCAAGGCATGGTCTGAAGAGGGGAAATACTGCTAAGATGCTTGACTGTCTTATGAATATTGGTTCCCCTTGCCCACGATTGTGAAATGGATACTTGAGTTGGATAGAAAGGAATGTTGGGAAGCATGATTACAGAAAGCTTGTAAGCCCATCTTCAGCCTATAACTGAATGGAATACCTAAAAGGGGTTCTAGAACTTGTCCAGTGAAAGGCTCCTGCAGAGCCTTTGCAGTGTATAGGGCCTTAGGTGGAATCCTGAGCCTCATCCAGAACCTTTTAGGGTGGGACATTCCCACTAGAAAGGACAAGCAGACCAGCCTGGAACAGCTAGAGTGACAGAAGATACATCTTCAAAGAAAGATCATCAGGAAAAACCCCAAACAGTATGATTGGCTACTACAAGAATAAGCAACTTGTACGCCGGGAAGCCATCAAGGCAGTCAATCAAGTTCCTTCAGGACAAACCTCCCTCTAAGACTGAAACTCAAAGGGAACACATGAGCAGGCATGTACACTTGCTGGTGACCACATTGATCTAATGGTGAGTGGAAGAGGGGGAAAGGCAGCTATGAAGAAATGGGCTGAGTTCAACCACCTTCCATAGACTCCCATTGACTTGGAGATGAGAGAGAGAAGAGGAAGGGCTGGTTGGTCCAAAATATGGTGAAACCTGGGCATACCTGAGCTTGTGGACAAGGACATAGCCACAGAGGGCTAGAGCTGAGAGTGAAGCATCCAGCTGATATGAAGTGAGGGGCGATGCACAAAAATATCCAAACTTGCAGATAGTACCCATTTGACCTAGCCTCGATGGCTTGATAATCAGAACTTGACTAAAGGAAGATAATAATAAAAAAAGAACAAAACAATTTTTGATAAAGGAAATGAGGGTAAATTGCTACAGTTTGATGAACTTCATCTATACTCATGGAGGTACTAACTCTAAACACCAACAGAGAGGGTAGGAGACTTCATATCAACTATCAATGCTATCCCCTCTGTAGACAGGGTAGATAGGGATGGGCAACCTAGACATTGACTACAGAAAATGAGGGGTGATAAAGGCTCAAAGTGACTGGCTTACAAGGTTTCAAGGGGGAGTTTAGTTTTAGCGTGTGTGGGGGAAGAAAGAGGCCCCACTGAATAGTTTTCATCTTGCCTAGATGGGTCTGTCAAAAAGAGATGGGGATATGAGTCTTATGATTCAATAATGAGTAACTGTTATCTGACAAATTGCAACTGTCACAATTGTAAAGGTAGAAGTTTTGTAACAAAAATGGCAGAGTAGTTTATCTTATAGTTCAGAAACAAAGGACCCTTGGGCCATTAAGGGAGAAGAGCACAAGTGGAATGCGAGACCTTATCCGGAGAAGCAGTGACACCAGAGATGGAGGCAGAGATGGGGACATGGAGAGAGGGAGCAGCTGAGGACTCTAGATTCATGGGAAGTGAGGGACTACGAGCTGGCGGCCAGGAGGCAGGCTTGCAGAATGTGCCCTTTGGTGGTGTAAATTATTATATATGCCTGAGTGTTAAAAAAATAATAAAAAAGAGCTAAAGTGAATAGAGAGAAATACTGTTAACTGATGGTACATGGAGGGGATTATAATCATTGTCATGAAACAAGGTGTATGATTTGTTGAGTGTAAAACTAATGATCTGAGAAGACATGAATGCAAGTGGTCAGGTCCCTTCAGAACAATCCCCCTTCCAAGACTAAGACTCAATGGAAATACACGCTCTGATTGGTGACCATGCTCGTCACCGATAATGGGAAATGAGGGAAAAACAGCAATGAAGCAGCAAGCTAAGCCCTACAATGTTCAATAGACTCCTGTGAACTCGGGCAGAGACCTGGTTGGCCAGCAGTGTGGCAAGACCAGACCTCAGGACTCTTGGGCCCAGAATCAGTGACATGGCCACAGAGGATTAGAGTGGAGTGTGAAGCATCTAGCTGATATGAAGTGAGGGGATATGCATAAGAACACCCACACTTGCAGATAATACCCACTTGACCTGGCTTCAAGGATTGGATGATCAGAGCTCAACTAGAAGAAGAAAGAAGAGGAAAAAAGAGTAATCTGATACAATTTGATGAACTTGACCTACACCTATGGATGCAGTAGCTCAAAAGAGGGAACAAATCTTTACAACAAGGATCATTCCCACCTTCTCCATACACAGAGTAGACAGGGATGGGCAACTTCGACATAGGCTACCCAACGTTGGGGTGGGGCTACAAAGGCAAGAAGTGACTGGCTTACAAGCTTTCAAGAGGGAGCCTAGATCCAGAGGGCATGGAGAAGGTAGAATCTCCACTGAGTAGTATCCAATCTGTCTGGGCGGGGCTGATGAAAGGAGATGTGGATAGGTCTCTTGTAATACAATAGTGAAAAATTGTTATCAGGACTGATTGTGAGGGTTGGAAATATACATGTAGATGTTTTGTAGCAAAAGGAGGGGAGTGATTGAGTTTGCAGTCTAGGAGTAGAGGTCCCTGGATCCATCAAGGGAGAAGAGTGGAGTGTGGGACCCTACCCAGAGAAACAGTGATGCCAGAGATGGAGGCAGAGATGATGATGTGGAAAGATGGAGCGACTGGGTATTTTAGACCCAGAGAGGGAGAGGGGCTGTGTGTTGATGACCGGGGACAGGCTTGTAGGGTATAACCTTTGTTTGGTTGATGATACATGGAGGGGATTGTAACCATGGCAATGAAGTGATATACGATAGGATGAATTTAAAGCTAATGTTCTCCCATAATTCACATAATTCACAATAAAGCATTAAAAACCAACAACTAATGATCTGCTCTGTAAACTTTCACTCAATCCACAATAAAAACCTTAAAAACAACAACAACAAAAAAACATCATCTGTATGAACTTTTTTATAAATATGTGATTCTGGAAGAAATAGGATTTGCTTATAGAAATCTGTAGAAGGAACTTAAAGTCAAAATTGTAATGGATAATTTTAACAATTTGAAATTATTTTAAAGTTACCTACCGTAAATTTTGTGGAATTCCTGTAGTATCTCTTTAGCTCATTTGAATCCATCTGAAATATATATTTTGTTAATATTTTATATTAATGTTAACTAAGTTTGATTAAATAGTTTTCACTTTTATTCTCTATATTTATAGTTTTTTTTCTTTTTCTTTTTTTTTTTACTGGTTCCATCCCCTCAGCCTGTAAACATGTACTTACATTTTATAAAACAAAAACAGAAACCCCCAAATCTTCCATTAGTTTCTATTTTCTTTTTGGTATTGCCTTATTGTTTGCCATGGTTAAGTTTCTTAACAGAGTTGCTTACAGTATTTATTGCTATTACCCACATTCTTCCCTATTTATTCCTCAACCCATGACAACTTGATGACAATTTGACTTATGGCACTTCTAATATTCCATCAAGACTATGGTGCTAAGACTGCCGAGATCCCTTATTTTCACACACATTGTATTTTTTATTCTTTATTATGCTTGCTTCTTTTATGGCACTGACCATGTTTTGGAATGACACATATTATTTCTTGGCTTATTTATTTAAAAATCTCTCCACTCCATTAAATGATAATCTGCAAAGGGCAGGAACAAGGATGATTTTGTTTAGCACTGTATATAACTAGTGCCTAATATTGTTGTTGTCAAGTGCCGTCGAGTTGATTCAGACCCATAGCGATGCTGTATATGGTTTCCAAGGAGCAGCTGGTGAGCTTGAACCGCCGACCTTGCAGTTCAAACGGCTTTGCAGTCTGGCGCATTAATCCACAGCACCACACCAGGACTCCAGTGCCTAATATAGGGCCTGGAATATAATAAGAGCTCAATAAATACTTATTGAGTGAATAAATAGATAAATGAAGACGTGAATAATAAACAATTTTGAAGTATTTGAAAATATTTTCACAAATTTGTCCTTGAAATTTTCTCTTTCCAAATAATCTACTATACCACTCTCTTCTGGTTTATCTTATTTCTTCAACTTTTACTTGTTTAGTCTTTCTTGGACTCATAGGGTAGCAATTTAAAAATCAACATTCCCCAGGATACAGTTCTTTTTATATTTGCTTCCTAGAAAATCTCATCTACTTTCATAGTTTAAAAAAAGACTGTGTATGTTGATACTACCGAATTTGTACCTCTACCTAATCATTTTGGTCTGCTTAATACAAATCCATGTAGTATTACAGGTTAATGAGCTGGATTGCAAAGTCAATTTGAACTTCAAGGTTGGTGGTTCAAGCTCACCAGTCATTCCTCAGAAACCCTATACAGGGTTGCAATGGGTTGGAACCAACTCCCATGCACTTAACAACAACAATACAAACCCATATGTTGAATAATACATTTGCACATAAAAGGAGGTGTATCTTGTGTATTGGACTTCTGGTGTGGTGCTGTAGGATCAATGCTGGACTGTGAACCACAAGGTCAGCAGTTCAAATCCATCAACTACTACTCAGAAACCCTATACAGGGTCACTATGAGTTGAAACCAACTTAAAAACAACAACAATCTTGTGGATCACTTTCCAGGCTATTGATTTGTTCAAGCAACTGTCCATTATGTTGTTCACTTGACAATTTCATCCATCTGAAATTTAACCTGCACCAAACTTGAATTTATCATCATTCTCCATTCCCTTTAAACCTAACCTTTTGCTCCTGTTGGCTCCATTTTGGCTATGAGCATCTTCATCTATACTGGCCAATGATCCTAGATCACTCATTTACTTTCTGCCCACATGCAACCAGCTAACGAGTTCTACTTATTCTTCTAATTTTTTCTCATGTTCATGCTCTCCTTTTCTGCCTGTCTCAGTTTTGCTTCACTCAATGCATTCATTCTACAGCTGCAGGCAAAGTGATCTTTCTAAATGAGGTCATTTAACAACCTCTGTTTACATTAAGGAGCCCTGGGGTGGCGTTGTAGGATAAGCACTGCACTGCTTACTGCAAAGTGGGCATTCCAAAGCTACCAGCTGCTCCTTGGAAACCCTATATAGAGTTGCTATGAGTTGGAACTGACTTGATAGGCACTTAACAACAACACCGACAATTAAATTCTACAATGACTTTGCATAACTTAAAAAAAAAAAAAAAAATCCAACTCCCTTTCATGGTTTTGTTGTTGTTAGGTGCCATCGAGTCATTACTGACTCATAGTGACCCTATGCACAACAGAATGAACAACACAGTTTTAAACAATGCACAACAGATTTGTAACACTGCCTGGGCCAACCTCACAATTTTTGCCACTGTTGAGCCCATTGATGCTTCCACTTTGCCAATCCATCTCCCTGGGGGTCTTCCTCTTTTTCTCTAACCCTCCACCTTACCAAACATTTTATCCTTCTCTAGTGACTGGTTCCTCCTGACAATACGTCCAAAGTATGAGAGATGAAGTTTGGCCATCCTGGCCTCCAAGGAGCACTCTGGCTGCACTTCTTCTAACACAGATCTGTTGGTTCTTTTGGCAGCCCACGACACTTTAAATATTTCTCCTCCAACACCATAACTCAAAAGCATCAATTTTTCTAAAGTCTTTCTTATTCACTATCCAGCTTTCGTATGCATCTGAGGTTATTGAAAATATCATGGCTTGGGTCAGGTGCACCTTAATCCTCCAGCTGACATCTTTGCTCTTCAACACTTTAAAAAGGTCTTGTGCAGTAGATTTGCCTAATGGAATTGCCTAATGCAATATGTCGTTTGATTTCTTGACTGCTGCTTCCATGAGTGTTGATAGTTGATCCAAGAAGAATGAAGTCCTTGACAACTTCAATCTTTTCTCTGTTGATAAGAATGTTGTTTGTGGCATACAAGGCTCTCATTCTTCTCCTTCAGGAACCCCCACCCCTGCTGTATAGCAGTTCCTTAAATGCATCATGGAGTCTTGCTTTGATGTCTTTGCCATGCTATTCCTCATGCTTGGGACATATAGTTTCCTTTCTGTGGGAGCAGAGAGCTGCAGATAATTCCAACTAATTTATTAAAATTTGGCTCAAGTGTCCCCTCCTGAACCTGTTTTCTCTGAATCTCATTGCACTCTGGGCTCACTCTGTCATGACTCACATCACAAGATCTCATCTTTGGTCTTTTGTCTGTCTGTCCTTCTTACTCAGTACTACTTAAGAGCAAAATCCATGTCTTTCTATTCTGTTTCTCTAGTTTTTAACACAATGTATATTATAATATGTAGCAGATGTTCAGTAAAAGTATAATAAATGATAGAGGAGCAGGGAGGCTTCTGTTAATATAAAAATATGACTACTAATATTGGACCTATAAGTGGGGGGAAGCGGCTTTCCAAAAGTTCATGGAAAAATTCTATTCTGTTTTAATTCCATTTTTCTGTAAACTTTGAAAAGCTCCCTTGTAAGTCTATATTTCAGTTACAGGTAGGGGGTGATCTTTTTGTAATATTTTTTAGTTGGGAGTCCTGGTACTGTAGTATAAGCACTGAACCCTACAAGATCGGCAGTTCAAACTCACCAGCCACTTCTTGGAAACCCTATACAAAGTCGCTATGAATCATAACCAACTCAATGGCACTTAACAACAACAATAATTATAGGTTGACTGAAGTATCATGACTTCCACACAAGGAAGCAACATTTATCACTTGTCATCCAGGCTGTCCAAAGTTAGATAGTTTCAGAATTGCATAGTTTGCAATGCTCCCTTTTACTTCCCCCACATCCCCATAATACACATACTAAATTTTATAGAAATAGAGCTCTGGTAGCGTAGTGGTTACGAATCGGGCTGCGAACCTTAAGGTCAGCAGTTCGAAACTACCAGCCGCTCCGCGGGAGAAAGAGGAAGCTTTCTACTCCCGTAAAGATTTACAGCCTCGGAAACCCTGTACAGGGTCGCTATGGGTCGGAACCGACTCGACGGCACTTAACAACAACAACAATACTAGAAAAGGGAGCACCGAATTGCTAACCACAAGATTGGCAATTGAAGACCATCAGCCACTCCATGGGACAAAGATGAGGTTTTCTGCTCCTACTAAGATGTACAGTCTTGGAAACCCTATACAGGATCACTGTGACTCGAGGGCATTTAACAACAACCAGATTGAGGAACATGTAGACTGGATACAGATCTAAATTGGTAGCCTTTTAAATTGTGTACCAAGATTGAGTAAAATCAGTCCTTTCCTTCAAAGATTATAACAGTCCAAAAAGATACATTTCAAGAGTTACGTAGCTAAAATATTACTCTTTTCCTCATACAGAAAGAATGATTTTAGCACATTTATTCAGTTACTTTTATTGTTGCCTATGATCCTATGATTGGATAGATGTAAATGATACTAAAACTTGCTAGATTAAGTGAAAGTGCCATTTAGTGATTTTTAAACTCCATTTCTTTGGAGCACTAAATAAATTCGGCATCATTAGCCTTATGAGAATCAGCATACTTACTGGTAACAATTAGGTACTTAGTTTTAAAATGTCATTCCATTTTATCCTCTCTCTTTTTAAAGCCTCATCATTATGCAGGCAACGTTTCATCAGGGGAAGCTTACTTGAAGAAGCATATGCTAATTACACCTAAATTCTTTCAATAGTTTTTGAAGAAGCTCTACCCAGGTATTATATTTACTTATTTTTCACTCACCTCTTCTGATACACAATCCATAGAAACTACTTAGTTTTGCAAAGAACAGATGGATGTGTTTTAAAGTTAGTATTATGATCTGGAACAGCATAAGATATATTCTGACAGAATGATAAATGTTATCAACAGATCAACCTTTGTTGTTGTTGTTGTTAAGTGCCATCAAGTTGGTTCCAACTCATAGCGGCCCTTTATAGGGTTTCCGAAGAGAGGCTGTTGAATTTGAACTGTCAACTTCACTGTTCAAACTGACCTTGAGGTAGAGTGCTATCCTATGCATCACACCAGGATTACACCTAGATTGTTTTTCAATAGTTTTGGAAGCAGCTCTACCCAGATATTATTCACTCACCTCTTCTGACACACTATCCATAGAAAATACTTAGTTTTGCAAAGAACAGATTGCAGTGTTTTAAAGATAAG